ACTTTTTTTGGGCAGCTGACAAAACTTCGAAATTTTCTATTTTAGCAACCTGACAAGAAAACTTAATAGCAGATTTATATTAGAACCCATAATCATGTTTATTGAAAATGACCTGCAAACAGAGCTTGGAGTTGAGGATCCAGCAAGAAACATTGTCCAAATGATCTTCCAAAGATCGTCAATTGATCCCTCGAAGCCACCAGGGAAGATCGAACACGTCCTACGAGTTAAAAATTCAATAGACGTGGTTGAAAGATTCGAAAAACACCGGGAAAAAGTGATGAAGAAAGCCAATGAAGAACCAAAGAGACATCCAAGAAGCGCGGTTGATGGGAACGAGATGTTGCTCTTCTATGGCACAACAATCGCTTGCTGCCACCAAAGAGTACCAAAAATGAAAGTCTGGGACCCCTGCAGGAATCCCGATTGCCGGCTCTGCAGGACAATTCAGTCAAAATTCGACATGGAAAGTGCTAGGAAGAATGGGATTATATTGAACAGAAGCAGCCAGGAGATGAGTGAGTACAATGTGGGTGGGTTGAAGAAAGCGAAGAAGAAGAAGATGATGAGAAGAGCAGTCGTGGTTTGCAGGACAATTGCTGGAAGGGTATTGGGTGACACAGTTGATGGAAAGTATGGAATATCAGACTGGGATTCACTAGGATTTCAAGGGCTTGATTCAAACAAAAAATGCTTGATTGTCAGAAATCCATGTGCTGTTCTTCCTTGCTTTATTGTAGTTTTCACCTAACATGTTTGTATACATTCGCGCATATATATATATATATATTTATTCTGTAATTTACTGTAGAAAATTTTAATTGCATACTACTTACATTGACGACTTGATTATTTAACATGACATTAGAACTAGAGATATATAATATTTCAAACTAAATTAACCTTCTTTCTAGTCATGGTATTTTATCATGTGTACCCAAGGGGCGAGAGGGGGTTTATATAAAACGACACAACGGTTAAGTAGCCATTAGTAAGGAATGGGGGCGGAAAGTTGTCATCTTTATACGATAAGTATCAGTGGTTCATTTGTAGAAGTTATCGAACCTATGATTATTGGCAGTGAGTAGCTAACTCGATGGAAGTTCTCAAAAGGTTTGGGAAAAAACAGGAGTGAAGAAGAAAGCTAGAACCAATAAATCCTCCAAGAGACAGAGTGGACGAAAATGAGATGCTGCTGCTCTGGCACTACTAATTACCGACCGTTGCAGGAGAATAGATGAATTTTCTGAGCTCTGTAAGAATCCAACTTGACGATCTGCAGGACAATATGATTCAAATTTCACAAAGAATACACGGAGAGGAATGGGATTAGACTGAATAGATGCAGCAAGGAAATATGTGAAGATAAGGGTGCTGTTCAACAAGTGAATAATAGACGAAGAGTTGCACTAGTTTGGAGGATTAATTGCCGGAAAATTTTGATTACATCAAAGATCTCAAGATCTTCACCTGAGATTGTATCTGTACATGTAAAAGATCTTCTGCAATTTACATAGGTGTATCACACTAGTAATGATCAATAACATCTAATGCACCCAGCAAGATTATCGACTAACAGTCCTTGAAAATTACTTCCCGAATCAACTACTTGTACAATGGAAAGAAAACTGATTCATTTCTACATGATCACGATCTTACGACATTTGTAATGCAGTTAAACTAATTAAGAAAGAGAATTACATTTAAGATTTGCAGAATGATTCTAACTTGGGCTCTTGTCCAAGAATTTGCAGAATGCATCTAACAGCATCTCGAACAGTTATCTCCACGCACAGGAAGTGATGAGAGGTTGATTATTCCAGCCAAGGAAGAGAGCTCCATCTCTCTCTTCAAGTGTGTACTTCTCAGAGTAGTTTTCCAGCAGCATTTTAATCGTAGCATTCACATAATGGCTCAATGGATGGGGAGTAAAGCCAGCCATAAGAAACCGAGCATGCCACTTGCCAAGGTATTCGTGCCGCTCCACTCTCTCAGCCCCTTCACATGCTATAACATTCACAATTTCCCGGGCCAGACAGTGCTGTTCAACACTTATGCGCTCCTTGTGCTCCCTTGGGAGGGAAACATCCATCGATTCAAAGATGGGTAAATAGTGGTTCATTGTTTCCACGAAACGGGGCAAGAACAGAGCAGTATTAGTATTGGCTTCTTCCTCAACAAGAGTTACTACCTTGGGAGACAAACCCTTTACCATCCTCAACAGCCTGTCCCGGTGATTTTGGGTGCCTACACTTTCATCGGGCATATGGTGCAGCATCAATGCGAAGTTTACAGCAATTGCTTCACCAGGTTGAACTCCAAGATCTTCAAGTTGAACCTCAGTGCCAGAAATTGCAGCCGCATGGAATTCAAAGGGCACCTTGCATGACTCAGCAAGTCTTGATAGTCTAAGCCCCACCAATTCAAGTCCTCCAGCCCGGGCATAAGCTGATGTTGAATCATCAATGCCTGTAATTCGAAGCCGGGGAGGCCCTCCAGGGCGAGAAGCAAGAGCCTGGATTAGGGTAATCCATTGAGTCCCTTGTGCAATTTGGAAATCAATTATATGCACATTGCTTTCATTCTTCACAGCTTCAGCAATAGCTCCATTTGCAGACAAATACCCAAACTTAAAGTATGGGCAAACTTCGTATAGTAAATGCATATAGGAAAGGAGTTCAACACTAGAAGGCTCTTTGCATTTGAGGGCTTTGTAAATAGAACTTCCTGAAGATGCCAGTCTTGCAACAAGCCCTTCCAACATGTAGGCTCCCAGACGTTGAACTGGCTCACCAAAAACTGACACCATCTTTCGTAACTCCGTCATCAACCATTCAGTCATGATCATATCATTATTTTCAATAGCCTTCGCACAAGCATAAAGTACTTCTTTCAAGTCCCCTCTAGAGATAATCTCCATCATATTCCACTTCTCAACCTCAAATGAGTTTGTGTCAGGTCCTGGAGATGCTGCCAGACCTATATCAAAATTATCTAAATCAGGTCCTAGCATAGCAGTTTCCAATTCTCTTAGAATGTGCCTCAGGTTGCTCTCGTTATCTGTAACACAAGATCCACTTACTGGCGAGCTGTACACATTATCAGGAGAATGGTGTGGTTCTGACTGGTAAGATTGAGAATTTGGCTGTGAAATTTGACTTCTCTCAGGTGAAAAACTGGCAGTGGAAGGTGAATTGTGAGCAGTGTAACCAGAGGATGATTCAAGCGTGCAGTACTGCTGAAAAGTCTGAGTGGAATTGTGCACTCCATTGCTGCCATCATCTGAGCTTGTCTGATGGTCTTTGTTTTGAGTCAAAGGCCAGATATACCTCTCCACTTCTTTCACATGCTGGTTAAACAACTTAATAGACCCATCTGAGATTCTATTTTTCTGAGATGTTTGCATTGTGTAATAGCACGTAACACCAATTCTTAGATCTGTTGCAAACAATGAAAACCAACAGCTTGAAGACGTACCAACAAATTTTTCTTGCAAAATGTTCTGTCTTAACGGACCACTCAGTTGTTCCAACCTTTGTTATTCTAACGACTGTAGCTCATCAGGATTTTCCAAAATATGATGCCAATGCTGCTTGGCTTCTATAACTAATTAGAACTTGTACTGCACAGAAGACCAACAAAATCCTCAATTTCATATGCAGAAAATGCAGAAAAATAAGCATATTGAACTTCTAGTGAATGTTTTACGACAACTATCAACTTGCAGAAAAAATAAACAGATTGAACATCTACCAGACTTCGCATGACAACTATCAACTCTACTTGCATAAATTAATTATCTCAGTTTACAAATAAAACTTCTGATCCAAATTAATGTTTCAGCATAAAAAACGGCAATGCTTATAAATCATACGTATAATACCCGGTACCTCTTTAATACATAGAAAACAGGACAGAACATAGGAGCCAGGAAACTAGTCATCCTAAAACCACCTACATCTCTATTGCCCAGATGAAAGTCATGGAGAGAACCACAGATTATGCATATATCAGTTAAGGGCATCTTACACAGATATTGAAGACTCTGATGGCAGTTCAATTAAGAACAAAGAAAAGCATTAAGATGCCACCCAATCTCAGTCAGTAGACTTCCACTGATTTACTCCAAATCCCATGTGCCATAAATCATAACATCAAACAAATTGAACTTAAGAAATTTTCTCACTGCTCCAAATATGAGTGTTATGGTACCCTTTGCCATCCATGAGGCTCAAAACTTTGTATAATGAAGTCAGAGAAACTTTCAATTCAAAGCAATAACAGACACAAGATAAACATGTAAACCCTAGAATTCCAGTTCAAGATATTCCCAACAAAAACCATAAGAGCTTTGAAGAAGAGTAACTAGAAAAGGGGCAAGTGCATGAAGCTATATTAATGGATATTCATCCTTCATACACTCTGTCCTCAACCAACACAGACTCATCCCCTGTCCATATTTTCACCAATTTTGCAATTACCCACCGACCAAAATCACAACACCCACATGACATAAGCTAAACTTTTCTTCACTACCATAAACCAAAACCCACCAATGATCACCCACAAAGTTGAACCACAAAAACACAGTACTTTCACATTAGACCCACCTGCATCTTCATGAACCATACAAGAATTGCAACTTTTTTTCTGAAAGAGAGAGTTCATTTAATGAGAAAAATCAGCTTAAATCAAGCCCGTCAACAACAAATCCAATGAAGACCCATCACTTAATCTACTCAAACAAGCATGCCCTCTAATATTCTACGATGAGTTTTTCTAGACACACCTTGTTATTTTCAGGTTGAAGCTTTACCCGAGTTGATGCTCCCAAAAAGTTGCAGTGTAAAAGTCCAAAGCTCTTTGCTTTACTGCAATTGTGAGCACATGATCCAGTCTCCATGGGGGATCATTGACATCTTATAACAATTTCTTTCCAAGAAAAACCCCCCGTCAGCTTAGAAATTACGTTCCTGCCACCATGACATATGAGCTGACCAAATCCAATTTATTACCATCACCTTCTTTGCATTTTTCAAAACAAAAATCTCTTATCTTTTTTCTTCTTTACTAAAATAATTGATGACAAAAATATCCGCAGCATCTTTATGTCTCCAACAATCTTAAAGTAGTCAGCAAATCATCCTACATACAAATATATATATATATATAGATTTAACATATTTAAGAAGACCCCAAATGAATTCAGTGCATATAGAAAATGAAATTTCTTATTGTCAATTTATATGCACCTCCAAGCAAGAACCTTAACAATCCAATCATATTAAAATTTGGGTTGAGTTGTTGAAATCTAACAAAATATTGAATAGCACCATAAGTCTTAGATTAGGTATAGAATATGCAGCAAATGAATGTTCAAGTTTCCTAAAACAAGTACAGTCATCAAGTATACGGACTTACGTTTGACATTAATTAAAAAATTCTTGAAAGCTATAACCTACTGGTAATCAAGTATGCATATATTTATTATATTATTATATACGTATAGGTTGAAGGGTAGTTTGGTCTTTTTGTATTGGTGATAGAGAATTAAATAGAAGAAGATGGAAATGGGTCCACGCGGTTGAGCTTTGAAGGAGGAGGAATTCAACTTTTCAATTCCTTTTGTAAAAAATAAAATATATATATATATATATATATGTCTGTGATTTTATTCTGTCTACTTTTTGATTGCTCAATTGAAATTTCTCTTCTCCCACATAAAATGCTGTACCCCATTAATTAATTCTTCTTCCAAATACTTTAAATACAAAATTACTTTGTGCACTTGAAATAAATAAATATATATATATATGTATGTATATATTGAATAAATTCTTTTAATTATTCTAATTAATGACATCATTTAATAGATATTAGTTGTAAGTAGTTAGTTACACTTTATGTGCAAACCAACATTAATTTCCATTGCTGCCGACCATGGAGGCACGTGTTACTTCCATGTTTGACCATCAAATTCAGCAATAAATTGACATGTCTTTGTCTTTGTCTTTAGGTTTTTGTTTTTAAAAGATTATTCAACTTTTTTTATCCTCTCCTGTGGAATTTTATTATGTTATTTTAAAATAATTTTTACCATGAATAACACATTCTAACTCTAATAATAAATTAATCCCAATTTCTTCGTCGTAATTTGTTAATTATAATAATTGACTTTGATTAAAATATACGTCGATTAACAAACGATTATAAAAA